TTTCAATTTTTGACCATTGTGTTTCGTTCCCCTGCCATGCACCTCAAGTAAATAGCCTGACACTGTCTCCTCTCAGCAATCTCCCGGTAGGTTTTAGAGGGCTACTGTGAGGTGCCCCCAAAGCCATCTCTTCTCCAGGCTGAACAGGCAGTTCTTCAGCATCTCCTCACAGGGCCTGTGCTCCAGCCCCAACCATCTGGGTGGGATTTTTGACCATTGTGTTTCGTTCCCCTGCCATGCACCTCAAGTAAATAGCCTGACACTGTCTCCTCTCAGCAATCTCCCGGTAGGTTTTAGAGGGCTACTGTGAGGTGCCCCCAAAGCCATCTCTTCTCCAGGCTGAACAGGCAGTTCTTCAGCATCTCCTCACAGGGCCTGTGCTCCAGCCCCAACCATCTGGGTGGGCTCTGCAGAGCTCGCTCTGTTTAATCCGTGCCTTTCTTCTTTTGGGGAACCCAAAACCAGACACAGTATTCTAGATGCAGTCTAATGAGTGCTGAGAAAACGTGAATAATCATTTCCCTCAATCTACTGGCTATGTAATGATCCAAGTCATTACTCACTTCAATTATTTTCTATGCTTTTGACGGATCTTTCGTACCTGTTTCCTTTCCAACAGCAATCATTAAAAATAGTGATATTATGCACAGGTTACTTACTGCATAGTTACTATTTTATAAAAATAGGTAATAAAGACAGAAATTGTTATTATCTTAGGGCCTGCTCTAACCTTCAGTAAACGTAATTACACCATTTCCACTGACTTTAATGACAGTTGTCTTGGTTCATTATATCCCGCAGTAATCAACCTCATTGTCTTTTGAAATGGCATCTACTTATAAGCATAGAATTAGTAATGAGCACTGTAAATTCATGAATAGCAGAACAAGCACAAGCATATATATAACTGCTAGTAAGTCAAATCCCTTATAGTACTTGCCTTAGGCAGCTGGCAATGAAATAGAACTTGAATTTAAATTCCTGACACCAGGGAAGTCTGAGCTATGTTCTAAACAATTCTACCATAGATCATATACATGCACTTCTGTCTTAGCCCAAAGGACATCAAAATCTGATTATCTGTCAGTGCCTATTGTACAGACTAGCTCAATCACTGGAAACCCCTCCAGTACTTGTCAAATATCACAAAAACCAAGCTGCACTACATTGCACAGCTTTTATGGCATAGTGAGGCTAAGACTGCTGGTTCCTACCCCTAAAATTCAAGGGATGTGGCTTATAATGGAAATGCCATGTAGAGTAATGAATTTGTAGAAATTAATGTCATAAGATTTCTAAGTCTCTGAGCAAAATTTGTAGAAACAGGATTGTCTAAATCAAGTCTTGAACAAACTATATTTAAAAGCTTTGTTAAATGACATGGCAACTTTGTCATACATTTTAGATAGTGCATAAAATTAGTATACCTGGAGACTTTTATTCCTGTTTGCCCAATAACCTGCTCTTGATTTTAGGAAATCTAGACAAGATAAAACTAGATCTTACTCCTTGTCAGTGTATCATTACAGGCAACTAAAATGATTCCCAGCCATTTTCCTTCTGTAGATTGCTTTCTTTGTGAAGGTAATTCCCTGGGAGATCACTAATGGTTTTCCAGCATCCCAGGCCTCCATTGTGCAGTCTGCAGGAAGTTTCACCCTGTCGCCTGCTCGCAATGCATGAACTCCGAAACCATTAAGTTAACTGGGAGCAAATGTAAACATAAAAAGATGAATGTTCATAATAAGATATTTAAAATTACGTGTTGGGCTGTATATTGTGTATGTGAGTGTGTTTATAACATTTTTGGAAACAGAGGATTCTGTTCCTGAGAATTTGCTGCCTGTTTGGAGAGATTGAAACAAAAATGCGTCTGCACTAGCCACTTCTAAATGCAAAGGATGTTTACTGTGCCTCAGCATCTGAATTCACGCCTGAATTGATTTGTCAGAATGTTGCACAACAATGAACTGTTCTTTGCCTCCCTTAGAAGTTTCAGTTAACTGGATTGTACCTAAGATGTATTAGGCTACAGTCGTTCTCATGTAAGTAGCACAGTTGTTCAATTTTCCCATGCAAATTAGAGCTGCTTTGTTTTGTTGACCTTCTGAGTTTGTGGAGTGGAGAGGACAGAATCAAAATTTGAAGCGTACCAAGTGGTCAAGAACTGTCAGACACCAAAAACCCTGTCAGAAAACTAAGTCAAAATAAAAAGTTTCATTCAATGGTTTTGTATAAATCCAGTTCTAAGTTATATTAGAACTTGCACTTTTGCATGAGGATCATTTTAAAAACAAAATTAACCTTTCCACCTGGGCAGTATTAGGCTAAAAATTAATCTGGGACTGACATAGACAGTTAGGATTTGACCAAATACTGAAAATCAGACACCTCACAGAGAGACCATTATTTTACTGTCATCTTCCATACACGTAAAGGCAAAAGTAAATAAATATAATTTACAGGCAGAGGCACTTTTGTGTTACTACTGATGACCAAAAGGAAGGAGATCTTTATAATCCCATTTTTTTTTATTTATGCCTAGATCTTTTTTATCATCAGAACAAAACCAAATGGCTTAATAGCCATTTATATGACACATACTTCCCCCCCCATTTTGCAGGTCAGTTTTTGAAAGTTGTCTAGCTCAAGCAAGTGTAGAAAACAGGGTACCAATATTTTTAGTGCAAAGGCAAAACACATTTTTGAAAAGCACAGAAGAAATTGAGCACACTGACAGGTTTGGTTAGGGGGGAAAGGACTACTAAAAATAGACCTGAGTGATTCCTTTCACCATTCCTTTCACTGTTCCTAGAAATATTGAAATCATATTTGTGACCATAGGATTATTCATATATTCTACTACTTGCACAGATTGTTTGTCTTCCAGTTTAATAGGAGTCTGAAAACTAGGAAATTTCAGGTCAAATAAAACTTCTCATTTTCACAAAAAGAAAATAGTCAATATTAGTGCTGCTTCTTTTTTTGTGCATAGCACAGAAAATCCTTTCTGAGAGAAATGTTCCCGTAAAATTATCATAACCATTAACTTTCTCATCTGAAAAGTAGAGCATTAATACAAAGAAACTGAACAGAAACCTATAAAATTCAAGGGATTTAGAGGCATATACACACCAAAAAAAAAAAAAAAAAAAAAAAAAAAAAATCAGTCTTAGGCAAGGAAGTGAATCTTTACCTTACAAGCTGTTAGCATGTCAGCTACTGCTTTGCGGCTCAGATTCGCTGTAGCAATCACATCCTCCTGTCTGCATGAGTTCCCAGCTGCAACAGCTTTGGCAGTTGCCATGGTGATTCCTTTCGTCATCCGGATTGATTCTTCAGGTGATGATGTCTTTTCTGGAACCTCGCTTGACTGAAACACCTAAAAGTGAAAGCAGAAGGAAAGCCTGATACCATTCAAGTCAAAGCAGAACAATCATGAGAAACAGACAGCATCTGGAAACAGCCTTCAAACAGCAGGAAATTAGAAACACATTCAGAGTACTTCAATATCATTCTTGCTTGTCATAAGCCTGGTCCTGATAAGCCTGCTCACCTACAGACAGCAGAGAGAAACAACAAACTGAGGGAAGCATACAAAAAAAGGTTAACCCATTCATCTCATCTGCCATTGAACTACTTGGATGACAGTTTGTTACAGACAGCTGTTCAGAGTATTACAGAATCAAAAGAGTTACTATTTGTTTAATTAAATTCTTTTTTCATCCTGACTGCTGCTTAGGCTGGTCTACTCACATGAGGAGATCCTTCCCCTGCAAAGGCTGGGCCTTACCCAGCCCTTGTTGATAGCACAGTGCAGGACAGACTGAGAACATCACTAAAATATTCAAATGTCTCTTAAAAAAGTGGAGGTGGAGCATTGTCTCTTACACTATACTTAGGCTCCCTTAGAAACCTAAAGATATAATTTTGCAGGGTGAATCATGTGAAAATAGTTCAAATTATCTGACACTACACACTACTCTCATGAATACTGGAATACATGAACTGTGGTAAGATGTAGGTAAAAAGAGCCGGGTAACCTTACTTTTATCTTATATTTCCTTTTCCCAAGCTTTTTCCTGTATTTGCTTGCCATTCTGTTACTGTGCAGGGGCAATTCAGAGTGCACAATTAATGAGGAGAGGTTTCTTGACTACACACAGTGCAACCTAAGCAGGCTAGTCTGAATGCAAATGTCTGGACAAAAATGAGCCTGGTCTATCCCATGCTCCTGGTTCCTCAGTTTTTCACTTTCTCCCTCCAGAAATGGAAGCGATGTTAAAAAATAGTCTAGTTAAATATGTGAAGGACATCCCTCAACGTTGCTCAGATTCAGTCAATGGAGTTCCAAGTCAAGCTCGATGCATTTTCTTGAGCACATATGTGCCATCCTTGGTTCCTCTCGACCCTCTCCTAGTACTCCACTTTTCTCCCCATGAAAGAGATGACAACACCACCACCACAGACCCATTCCTTAGCAATGCTGACAAAAGGAAAAGGAAGAGGAGGAACATTTCAAAGAGATACCAACCATATTGAGAAAGCAGATGTGATAATGCACACTCCTTCAATGACAGATTTGGACAGATTTTAGATCAGAGTTATGGGAAGGAACGTAACTTAGCCAGGCCTTCATGAGGATACACGATAGTAACGTGCACTAGATATCGTACAGAACATTCCTGATCAGATACGCAATTGGGAGTTTTTACCACTGCAGACACTGTATGAATTCCCAACAACTATATACAGATACTTAAAAAAAAAAAAAAAATTAAAATAAGCAAGAGTTATTTCTTCAGTACAACAGCACTGCTCACACAATGAAAAATAGATGTTTTATGGAGGGCACTTGACGAGGCAAAACTGCGCCAGTGCAATTACAGTGTAAGAATTGCTAATCCACAGATTATACAACAAAATATTTTCCGCTGAAGACTGTGTCTATAGGTTTTTTATAAAAAAGGACTTTAAGTAAAGGAAGGAAAAAAATCAGGCTTCTTCACAAACACGCAGGTATTAATTTATGTCACTGACTAGTGTACAAGTAAAAAAAAAAACTGAAACCTGCAGCTGGAGGCTATACTTTTATATCTTAAAGAGGAAGAAAAACAATTGTCATGGTCTAACACCTAATTTGGTAGACAATTCCATGTTACTGTGAATTCCTGCTCAGACAGAACATCAGATAGCAGGCTATGTGTCACTGGGATTATCATTTCATAATAAAGGAAAAACAGAAACAAGATTAAACTGCAGGTGCAATATAGCTATGATGCTGAGGAGACACTACCAAGCCCAGGATCAAAAAAAAGTGAACAGCATTAGACTCGGAAAAGAATATCTGTAGTAAAAGCTTAATGCCTAAAGAACAAAGAAGCAGTTGCTTCCAGATTTGTACACGACGGTAGCATCTCAAATCTCAAAGTGGGGACTGGTAACGTCTGAAAGCAGATAGGTTGAAGTGGCATTGTAATTGTACTTTCAGAGATGATTTGCAGCAGGTAGAGAGAACCAAATTGCATCCAACGCAGCGCAAAGCAGTAAAGCATAGCTTGAGGAGGAGTGCCTGGGCAGGCTGGTTTGAGTGTAAGAGCATATTTTCAAAACTGCCATGTATGGCTATTTTGTTCTGTACCGTGAGTTCCTGTTTGATGTACTCAATTGTGGCCTCAAGAGCTCTTGTCCCTCGAGTAGCTTCATCTTCTACTGCTTTAACAGTCTTCAAAAGCGATGTGACATTTGTTACCATCACCTGAAGAAGAGAGAGGTGAAGACAAAAATATGTGATTCCTTCCTCCCATTTTTCAGAGACAGCAGGGTATGAAGCAAGGCAAATTAAGCTAGGTAGCATTATTACTTCTAATAGGGCCTAAGAGGCTTCATGAACTGTACTTGTTATAGGACTAAATACCAACTCTCCTGTTGGCCAGTTTCTGAAAGCTCCCTGCAAGTTGCAGAAATGTAGCACAACTAACTGCAGAGTGACACCATCTTAAGTGAGAGTGTTCTGGCAAAAATTCTGCAAAAAAATGGAAAATTCACAACATTTCCAGGGTAGGTCTCTTATACAGATTGATTATGTTCGTGTCTTTTCTTCCCGCACATCTTACACTGCAAGTTGAACGAGACGTGAATCGAGGTATGGTATTCCTTTTTGAAATTTACCCAGTACATTCTCCGCAATCAGATAAGACCCCAGGTAAGCAAGCAGCCAAACACCAGCCTCAAGCCCAAACGCAGATATAGAATCAGTGTTACTGTTCCCGCTACAAACCCAGTAGTCCTGATGCAGAATAACTGAATTGTCACAGTAATAACCACGCCTTTTTCCTATACCCTGGTATGTTGAGATACAAATGATAGCTACAATGAAAAAAGAAGAGACAGAAAGGCCAGCTTCTTGACAATTGTGACTTAAAACACAGAGAGCTCTTCACAGCAGGAAGAGCCAAGAATGACCCACTTTTCTTGACTAGATGGGTCATTTTCAAGTAGTGCCTCAACATATACTGTTACCATGTGCCCTTAAAAGAAGAGAGGCACAGGTCTTACAGGTAAGCAACAGACATGGGAGCGAGAAGAGCTTCCAGCCAAGCAAGAAGCTACCACAACACTCTCATAATGTGAAAGCAGAAGTAATACCGCCTACATCTCCTCATCTGGAAATATTTTGTAAGCATGAAGCCACAAGATCTTTGTAAGGCAAATGTCATAATACATCTCAGGTGCAGGGAAAATAAAGCATAAAGATATTGCAGGTATGGTGTAATCTGTGCAAGTTTTGAGCTTTGATACCTATGTACTTCCTGGAAAGATCTAGGAGAGATGGGTCAGAAATGCACAATATCCTACTGTAGAGTTATTGGAGGGTTTTCTTCCCTCCCTCCTTCCCTCCCTCCCTCCCCTTCTCCCCTTCCTCCCCAAGCTGCAAGGTGGCGAGAGGCCGCATGCTTATCCTGAGCATATGTCATTGTTAAGAATGTACTATTTAGGTACCATTTTATACTGGATAAATTTTAGTCCACAGCATTATTAAAGGCGAACCTGCCCTCAGATACGGGCTTGCAAAAGAAAGAAGTTTCTCTTCAGAAAAATTACAGTTCTTTCATCAAAACCACAAAAGTCATCTGACAGCCTACAAAAACTTGATAGCTTCATGGAAACTCAACAGTGTCTTCTTATTTTTCTGTATCATCCCAGGATGGTAATGAAACAAAGAAAGAAGTGAGATTTCAGGCAATCAGAAATTGCTGATATCCAAGCTTCGCATGTCTATCAAGTGTGATTGCACAGATACTTTCAAATAAAATGTAAGAATAAGGTTTTACCTTGGCAGCACCTTTCAGCTGGTACATGGATGGATCATCTGCCGGTTTGCTGGCAGCTCCTTTGGTAGCACCAATGAGATCAGAAAGGGCCTTTGCAACATCCTTGATAGCATTGATCAGGACAACCTATAGGAATGAGAAATAGCTGTAAGCCTCAGGCAAGAAACAGTAGCCTGGATGAGGGTGTGATTTTTAGAACACAGCTAAAAAAAAAAAAATCTACTACTGGTACACAAATAGTACCACCCTCCCTCCACCCCAGTAAAACATGTAATATTCTGGAAGAAGAAAAGCTGTGTTGATAGCTACAGTATTTCATACAACTGGTCATAATCTATAAAAGCGACTATTTCCTGTGAAGAAACTGAAATGCAGATTGCAGGTAGGATTTCCTTCCTCTGAGCTTCCCTAAGAGGAGGTTTATTTTTCTCCATGTTCTTCACCCTCTGGGTAGAAGTGAGATAAGAGCAAGAAAACAGATTGATTATAAGCCTACAGTTATGTACCAATTCTGAAATCACCTACAGAAAGATCAAATGTACTTGCTATGGTTAGGTGTTAGAGGAAGATGTTCTTTCAGGGAAAAGGAAGTTCAGCCTCTGTAAGAGGCTATAGAGAATTAAATGCTGAATGACTTGGTTAGCCTTAAAGTTAGGAAGTCAAATCTGGAGATATTGTCTCCTAAACTCAAGCTCAAAGATAGAAGTCCTAGACAAAATACAGACACTACAAACAGGCTTGTTAATTATTTTAGGGTACTATTGGAATACTTCTCTCCTCCAAATCCTTCTCCTTTGCCCTTTCCACTAACAGAAAATCAGATGTTTTAAGTATTTTGCTGGAATTCAGAAGAATTCATTTTAAGAAAAATGTTGAAAGATGCATGAAAAATGAGAAAGCTCAGTAAAAAAAAAAAAAAGGTGTGGAATAATCACTTCTCAATAACTGCATTTCTGTAGCATTATAAATAATAAGAAAACAGCCTCATTCCTTCGTGTTTGTAGTTCACTGTAACTTATATAGAAGTGAAGTCTTTGCTTTTCCTGAAAAGTTTATTTAGCTTTTGGTAGCTCAGAAGCTCTTTGACCATGGAAATAAGAAGAGAACCTGAGACATAGGACAGACTGATGTGATTCTCTGTTGTCCAACTGCCCACATTGTGCGGCAAGTTGCAGTGTAAGACATCTGAGACTCTATTGCACCAGCTAAAGTAAGTGTTGCTGCTATGGAAAAATGTTGTGATGGTATCATGTGCTAAAGCTATTAGAAATGCTCCATTTAGGACGCATGATGCACCTACAATTTCAAACTGGCAATATAAACTTGCTCCAAATAAATAATCACTTGTGCACAACAGCTTTTATTCTAATTACTGTATTCTTGGCTTTTACCTATAAAGAAAAACAATGAGTGATAAATGCTTTGCAAATGTTGCTAGTTTATGAAAATCCTTGTGTTAAAAAAAGAAAAGAGAAAAAGTGCTTCCAGCAGTGTTCTCCTAGAGAGGAACATCTCTAGTCCATCATACAGGTCATGCAAAACAGAACACACATCCCTTTCAGAGCATTATGCAAACGAGCAGGCTTTTTCAAACTAATTTGGTACCATCACAGGCACATCTGCAATATGCTTGCCAACCTCCGTTTCGCCAAGATCCAAACAAACAACTGAAGAAGTATTTGAGATAAACCACATTGAAGGCTGAAGTTACTGAGTTAAATGAAAAATAACTCAGAAATAGCTAGAGAATGGCAAGAGCTTGTTAGCCTATGCAAGTAACACATAGTGCACAGCCCAGTTGTAGGCTGGATAAGTAGCTTTAAAGTCATGCAAGCTCTTTAGAACAAAAATGGGATGAGTCAGGGGTCCAATCACAACTTAGTAAGAATGAGACAAATACTTTGCCAAAAGCATCCCAGCTGGAACACACCCATGAAATAAAAGCAAAAGTGTGATACAAAGGCCTGTCTAGTTCCACTCAATGCTTTAAAAGAATGATGTCTGAGTAAACCCAGAAAAGTCCCAGAAGAAAAAAACCCTATTGTGTTACTTAAAAGCAGAAGTCCTACAATGTCTTATCAATTGAAAACTGTCTCTGGTCTCTTTAAGAGTATCAGAATAATCTTAAAACATCTCACCTGTGTTTCAGGATCATCGGATCCCAAGCTAGCTGCTCCCAGTTTTACCACCTCAGCAAGTTGAGTGATGGTGTTAGCTGATGACTGAGCTGCTTGGGCCAGTTTGTCCTGACTCGAGGCAGCACCAGAAACCAACAATTTTGTATCTTCAACTAAAGCTTTTGCTGTTTTCAGGATATTTTCCCTGTAGCAAAAAAAGAGGAAGCAGGGAAGGAAGTGGAAAAGGAGAAGAGGAAAAAAACGTGTTTTTCAATGTTATGGTGACTAACAGCTACATAAAAGAGCTGATGTAAGTCATCAAGCCAGTGTCCATTCATGATAATATACCACAGGCCAGGCTGCAAGTAAAAAAAGACAAGACGACTATTAAAACAGTAGCATTATATTTTGGGCTAGATGCAAGGCAGTTTATTAAAATGACCCCATCTTGAAAAGAAATGAGGTAGGGCAGTAGCAGAAGAGAGCATTGCATTTTAACACCGAAGGAAAATCTGGCCATGCTGTGAGGAAAGTAACAGCTGTCTTAACCAGCATATTCTAAGGAAACTAAAATAATTATTAGTGAAGAAGGCATTAGCAAGAATGGCAAAAGGAACAGAGAATGTGACCTAGTCAGGGTTCCCCCCACCATATACATGTTTTGACATGTCAGGCCAACAAATCCAAAGCAACATTTGGGTAAAAGAAGGAACCATTTTGAGTATGCACTTCACAAACAAGTCAAGTTAACTGAGAACTAGAACCATATTCATGTAAAATGTCAGCCTGGAAATTAATGACACCTGTATAAAAATCCCTGACTTCTGCAGAGTGGCAGCAACTTACACACCATTGCATCTTTCCTCTTTCTTGAGCAACTGGCAAGGCGGGAAATAAATGCTGGCCATGCAATTGTCGCATAGGCCAACTAGGCTGCGAAGCAGCAAGTCAGTGTCTTGGCTGTGAAGCCCTAGGTTTTACTGCAAAGGAAGTAACAGTCAGGTGCTGCCAATCTCTTAACGTGATGAAAAATACTGTAGGATTATTTTGTTGCAGATGCTACTTGAAGGGAAAACAGGCTTATCTCTGCCAAAGGGGAAAATGTGTGCCATAGCTGTGCTGTTTCCATCACTGCTGTCCACAACAGCATTAACCATAAGCACAATTTAGCAAGACAGACAGCCAAGAAAGCTGTTGGAAAAAAGTACATAGAAGATTCTTCTTCAATGTCACAGACAGCTAATTTTTGCTACTGGAATAACAGCGCATGGTAGTCTATGCAAGAGATGGCTTGAATTAAAAAAAAAAAAAGCCAAAATACTGCTACAGTTGCAGTCTTCTGTTGGAAGTGCTCTTGGCAGATGTTCCCCAGCTTTTTAAAATTCTTTCCTCACAGAAATAGCCAAAGTGAAGCTTGCTGTCCTCTATCAATATCCCAATTTTCCTCTTTCTCTTCTTACTCCACTGTCTCATTCAATTTCATTCATGGGAATCTAGAAAGGTAAAAAATTATCTCCACATGCCAGTCGCTTCTGCCAGTTCCACTGTTCCCCTGTGCACGTGCTCTTTCATCTTTCTCAGTTACACCAACCTGTGGTCTGCAAATGATTCGTTGTTCTCGGCATTAAGGGTTCCAGCAGTAGCAAACATGATAGTGGTGTCTAGATCTGCAATTATCCCAGACACAGCACTAGCTGCAGTAATACAGGCTTGTGTGCCTTTGTTTCCTGCTTGAAGGGCAGATAAAACTAAGGAGACCTGGAAACAACATAAAGCAACAAGGTGGTCATCGAAAGAAAGCCTCATTATGGGACGCTGAATTAAGCGAGGTCTTTAACGTGACTGGAATCAACAATAGAAATTAATTCCGCAATGTCATTTTACAAATTTTAATAAACCTCTCCTTCCCCTTTCCCTTATTTGCTCTCTTTGTGCAGTCATTGTGACGACTAAAGATTGTGTCAAATTAAAGGGGACTTCAGCTAGGAAGTCCACTTTTCAGACAGAATGAAGTGCTCTGTTCATCATAGGATGAAGCACGTCAATTAAAACTTCCTTGAAAGACAGTCAGAGGTAATGTAGTGAACTTCTGCCAGGATAAATGTCAGAGCCAAGAGCTAATGCTTTTTCCCTAACACACGCAAATAAACACTGGCCTCAGGCACCCCAGGAGTCATGCACAGTATACCAACATAAACTTTAACATCACAGAAATAGAAAGTATAGACTCTCTGAATCGAGACACTAAATATTGTTGTATTTATACAAAATTATAGAAAGACAATATATCGCTTTATATCTAGCACAATTTTTATCACTAAAAAAGCTAGAGATCTCCATTTCATCTAATTAACATTGTACTTACAAAGCTCCGCAGGTGGGATGCTGTTCTCATGCCATACTATGGTCCTAAATTCTGCTTTTGCAAGAAAGGATCCACATCTGGGGATATGTATACTGACTTCTAATAGTACAGTTCTTCCTGAGGTTCTGTTCAGATTCGGAGTTGTCCCCGAACAGGTCGTCCCTCTGATTCATTATTACTGCCCTTATCAGCTTTAATTCTTCTTACAAGATACTGTCTACCCCTGCTTAAATTTGGAATTGCTGATACTCCTGGAGCACGACATGGTGGAAAATTTGTAGAGCTGAGACAGGCTGAACAAGTGAAATCTAAAACTAACTGACATTTGACTCTCAATGTTCGTGCCCAACAAAAGGAGAGAGAGGCTGTCAAAAAGGTTCAGCAAAGCTGAGCTACCCAGGCCATCTGTTTGAAGTGGAGAAGACCAAGACAGACCAAAGACCAAGAAACCCCAGAATGTTTGAAGATGCAGTTCTAAGTGTGTTAGCTTGGCCCAGTTTTAAAAGGGGAGGACATCGCTACATGAAATCATGTGTCATCGACCAACCTCATCTCGGTAACTGTGGCCATCCACGTGGACTTAGTATTTCCAAGGGAGTGCCTCATAAGGCACAAGTACCATCTCATGTCTTAGGGATTAGTTTTGGACCAGTCTCCCTCTGGTATGAGGCTGAAGTTTTATTACGAGACACGAGCAAGGGCTACTCCTGGGCTAATCTAGCACATAACTGAACTGAACACTTGAAAGAAAAGTAAGAACTTAGTGCAATTCAGCCAATATTGTACTATAATGGGAAGTTAAAAAAAAAAAAATTTCCTGAACCCAAACAATTTGACTGGCTTACTCCCTAGGGAACCTCGACAGACAAACACTGTGGGGCAACATAGAGGGATGTCTTACCTTTTCTGTGACAGCACGAGCACATTCTATCAACTCCCTTTTGGTGTAGCTGTCTGTAGGGCAAATCTGGAGAGCTCCAGCTTTTTGCACAAGGAAGATACAGCCGTGGCCAAGTTCTTGCACCCGAGTCCTGATCTGGAACCCTATCTAGATGGTAAAGGAGGTACAGGGAAAAAGGAAGCAAGAGCAAAGTGAATAAATACATGTCATCCTGGTACACTGTGTCAACACAAATGGAAACATGGTCACTTTGGTGAATCTTTATTACCAATATTCCGCCCATTGCTATACTCTCTGCAGAGATCAGAAAAAAAAGGAGAGATGTAATACCATCTACTCATGTAGCACAACCCTATAAAAGGCTTACTGATGAAACAGGAGCATTAGTGAACCAGACCGCAGGAAAGAGAAGGCATAAGGCATGTACCCAAGTCAAGCGTACGTCATTCAAGCATACACAACTTCACCACATTCGAATAACACTACTTCATTTCCCAGATCTGTTCTGTGAGCTGTATTCAAGGTAGGTATGATGGGTGAAAAGTACACATTTACTCTACACTGCTGCAACTGGGTCAAAAAGTGTATGACTCGGTTTGTTTGTTTTTGAATCTCTCACAAAGTCTCAACTCTCCAGAACTGACCACGTACATGCGGAGCACTGAAATGTGGAAAATCCTGCCCTCACCGCTTCTGATTTATTAATAATCCTACAGCATAAGCTGTGTGGTCCCTGTTTAGAAACACATGAGAGTTTTAGTACCTGCATATAGGTGTGTATTGGGATTAAAAAGTAAGCAGGAATCACAGCCATTAGTATCATAAATGGAATTATTTCAACTTCAGGCAGAAAGTAACGTGCAGAAATGGTAATTCAATTTAAAAATATCAAGCCAAATGCAAGCCATTGCTTTTCATGTAGCTATTGAGCACGAAACACTTAAGCAGTCTATCAGCAGTGGAACATAATTACAAAGTCAAAAACTCTTTGAAGGTCTTTTATCTAGATAATCTGATACATCTGGTGATGGTGAGATACCCTCTTACCCCATCTTGATAAAGTTTGTCTATGCTCCATAACCAGAGGCACGCAATGAGAAGAGAGAGGTGACAGGATTTCTGTAATTGTGCTCAGAGAATACGCAGCAACTCCAGTAACAGGTTAATGCAACTGAGGTGAATAGTCCATATTCCTGTTAGCACGAGGCGTGTAAGAGTGCATGGGGAACCCGCTCCTCCTGTATTGTATTCCAACTCTGAGGTACGAAAGATGTCCCGGCAGCAAAAGATACTGGTGCTCCTACCAGTTGCCTGCATCTCACTTTCAGGACAGGAAGTTATACATGAAATTGCTTACAGGCAAGATAAAAAAGCATATCCATATTTGTAATTCATCAAACCATATGAGATCGAAGGAAAGCTGTATAGTAAATAATTAAGAGTTTTCTTTGTATTTGCCAGTTGTCTGTAAGCGAAAGCCCCAAGTAATTTAGGAAATTCTGTCGTGGTCTGTGGAACTGCCCACTATTATTGCAAGCCGTTTCTTTCTGAAGCTGGACCGAGGTTTTAACAAAGGTTTCTGTTCTTTGATTGGATAATTCTTATAACAAGGCTTGTAGCATAAAAAGCCACACTTACGAAGTAAAATGTTACATCTTTTGTGTAGTCCCTAAGTGTTGTTAAAAATCTCCTGATTCATAGCACGCCTAAGAGAAAACCTGTTCGGTAGGCAATTCACATGTATCAAGAGCAACGGGAGGGCTGAAGAGAAACAGAAGCGAAACTGATTTGAAGTTCTGAACATTCACTGAAAACATTTTGTAGTAAATCCTAATTCCTATCATTATACACCCATGCACAGGAGCAGTGGTAAAACTGAGGTGTGTTATCAGTAATTATGTAGTACTATGTGCAGCTCTGCCCCACCCTGTGAAGGCACACTGAATAGAGAGTATATTTGGAGGAGGGAAAGGTCGATATCAAAGACCAAAATAGATCTCTCTCTGCAAACCGTAAGAAGGAAACAGTACTTACGACACATACAGGTAAATAACTGTTGATACTCTAAGATTTCACGGCATTTTGAAAAGACACAGTTTTGCTATGCTCATCGGTTCCTTTCTGTCCAATGAAAACAAACTCGGTAGAGTTTTTGTCTGGCTGCATATAGTTTGTGTCTTAAAGTCTGTTGTTAGCGAAAATAGAAGTAGATCATAAGAGACAGATCTGTATAGCCAAAGTACGCCTATACTGTTGACTGGGTTCACATCACGGTTTCAATCAAGTGGTAAGAGGCCAAATGAAGTTCTTCTGGGAACAGATGTGCTGTCCTGTCCCACATTTCACGTGTCAGTGGGCCAGAGGTAGCTAGCGTACCTGTTTGCCTAAGAGACAGAGCACACATAGCATAGACAGCGCTTGCATTCAAAAGTGGCTAACGAAGCAAAGGCAGTGGAAACGCATTCACTGCACTTGCCTTAGAATCATTGCAAAGACATTTGAAAGAAAACACATTACCCAACGGTTCGAAACCTATTATCTGTCTGATCATACAAGGGATGTATTGCATTTGGCAATGGCTGCAAGCGTGTTGCTGCAACCGAGCGAGGTGAATACCCCTCGTCACTTCGCTCTGTATTTATTGTATTCTCTATGGTAAAAGAATACCCATGTTGACACCACCGTATACAGAGAATAAAGAGGTCTAAAAACTGCAGACCTCCTCTGGTTCTGCTGTAGCTGCAGCCATTCGGCCCTGGAGAGCCAAATGCCCATAGTCATTGGTCATTTGTGATGCAAGTCCTCCCAACTCTTCTGGGTTAGTAACCGACTTAGTCATCTGAAAAAAGAACACAGGCAAGAGAAAGAAAAATGACAGGCATGAGAATAATTTGTTAATACACTCCAGCTTAGAAACACACTCATTTGTTTGGCCACACTGTTGAAACAGGGTAAACCACTTGCCATGTAAGGTACCTGTCCTCCAGCAAGAATTCCATGAGGAAACTCAAGCAAACATGCTTTATTAGAGTCACGGTAACCAGGCACTTGCAGAACATATGGAGTAATCAAAGAGCAGCAGTTAGAGCTGGTAATTCACTCTTTGACATAGCGGGGCGATGGGCCAGGTACTCGGACCGGGTGGGGAAGTAGGTTTTGTGTGTCGCAGCCACCTTATTTTGACAAAGGTGAGCTAGCCTCAGTCTCAGGTGGCATGGCATGGGAGCGTGAAAATGGAAAACATCTGAGGACCAATACAAAACATGTCAATGCAAAATGGGAAGAGGACCAACAAGAAAGAGGTAGGACTATGCACAATGCCTTGGTAGAACGTCAGTATAAATAACTGAGTATCTCTTTAGAAAAAAGCCTACCTTTTAACAGAGATATTTCTTCTGTCTCCAATTTATGTTAGTAAAAGCCATGGAATTCCATCCTTGGGGCAAAACAAGGATGTTTTAGACTGAATTTATATTGTTTGCCAATAAGCTGCAATGTCGTAGATAGCAGAATCAGCAACCTGTCTTGACTGCAACAGCAATCAATTTTGTAAAAAATCCTGTATGTAGCATACATAAATAGTCCCCTCGCCTCTCAAAAACAAACAAGCAACGGAAGCACTCTTCAAAACACAAAAATTATGGTAAGCATTACTGGGAAACATGAGTTAAGAAAATCTTGATTCAACAAGTGTCCTTTTTTCTTTTGTTAAGCCCAGGTGAATCACAGAAATGCACGAAAAGAACAATTTGAGATATTGATCAGCATTCATTCATAAGTATTACAGAGGTCTAAAAATATTGATGTTATTTCACAGGCTAAATGAAACAGTAAGTGTAAAAGGGTAACCTGAGGTCATAAATAAACGTAAGGTGGTATTTCAGTGACAATTGAACAGGCTGATGAAAAAGTGTGTAGGTGAAATGGTTTCCTTTTATTTCTCACAGAAAATGAGCCAAATAAAAAGTTTTTGTGCAGAACAGCCACCACACAATCCAGCACTCCTCCTGTAGAGGGCCACCCCTACAATCACGCCACTAAGATCCAAGGGTTAAATTGACAAAATCAAAACTTCCTTTGCTCCATTACCCCTAAAGAGATAAGGTTATTGAAAATTAGCATTATAAAGAGTTTCACAACACTGTGCAAATCATTCCATGTTCCTTATATACGCAGAAGAGTTTGTACTTAGTTCTAACCAAATATCTTACCATTTCCTGTGCTGTTACAGCAATGGCTTTGGAGTATTTCACCACAGTGGTCTGATAATCAACAAATGTTCCCTTGGGATCTGGAGGCGTGCCTTCATCTAGCTGCGAGAAAGAGGGAAAAATACAGGGGAAATAATAAGGTCATAACTAATAGCATACTTTACATATAAAAATGAATATATCATACAATTTTATTATTACAATCTCCTCTCTCTCAAAATACGCAAGTGAAGACAGGATGTACGGAGGAGCTCAGAAAAGACTTTAGCCCATGTTACAAGCATGGAACATGCAGAGAATTTACAGTGCAGAGTTTTCAAGCGCAAGGTCAACTTCTCACGCAAGGTCAAACCACCTATAGTTCTTGGCTAACGTAGAAAGGAATGTGCAACTGTTACGAAACAAAATGTTCCTGCAAGAAGATAATGTAAGATTCCTTTATGTGGTAAAGGCTTCAATCCTGCACACCTTTAACTTGAGATAGGAAAAGCCAATTATTCGGATTGAACTAATTTACCATTTTGCAACTATACTTTTTCAGTAGAATGCTTTACAAAGCATAGCAGAGCACTTCAGGGCTTTGACATCATCTTCTCCTCTGAAAGTAGTTTGCTTCAAGGTTGGCCTGCTGATCATTTAGGAAACTAACATGACAGATAAGTAGGAAAAGGAAGCAAAAATAAAAGGCCAGTTGACTTAAGATTGCAGTTAAATACCAGCATAAAATACCGAATAAAGATATTTTGTAGTAATTCTACCAACAGGTACAGTGTAGGTTGTTAACACAAGCACCATCAGTTTGATTTCATAATCTGCAAAATCAAAGAATCTTTTGGTTTCCTGTCACAGCGTTTCAGTTACCAACCATCGCTGAAGTGAATCAGCAGCAGCTCTTCCAACCCCCTGTGATGTGGATCAGCTTTCAAGTGCAAAACAAAAGGAGTCTGGATTTCTATGCTCACCTTGCTCATTGCTTCTGCTATTGAGTCTACCATACCTCCAACCATGCCTACTTCGCTTGCAGCTTCATTTAAGGTAACCATGATATCATCCACAGCCTCTTTCATCAGTTGAGCGGCCTCAGAGATTGCATCGTGAGTATGGGATGCCTGGAAGGAAGAAAATGAGAAAACAGAGATCATCAGCGAGCATTCTGTGCACAAATCAACGTGCAAATCAAAAGCATAATTAATGAAGACAATACAGTAAAAGCTCTGAAAATCCCCTTTCAGGTCAAAGATGAGAAGCTAAATCTAACAGCAATGTCAACAGAACAAATCTCGCTTAGACAAGAAAACACAATGTCGAACAGCAATTGCTTAGAAAAGCAACAGGCCCTTTTCTAGAAAAAATGATGAAAATGACTCGTACGCTACAGAAGCCACAAAGATAAGGGAAGGCAAAAATAACACCAGACAGTGAAACACATGTAGACATATGAACAACAACAGAAAATGCCTGCCATATAAAGGAAAAAAAAAAAAATCACAATTATATAACATCACTAAAAAAGGCTGTAACAAAAAACACTCCTAAGGAACTATTTCACAACAACAGTTTTTCTAAAGCAGTAAATAAAAACAAATATCAAACCCAAAAAATCCTCTATCTTCAATCAAAAACCTACTTCAAAAAACCTGCTTGGATATTAATGAAAAACTCATAAAAGGAAAAAAAAACCCCACCCACAACAAACCCCAAACCTAGAACAAATACAATGAAAAAAAAAACCATGAAAAAAAGGAGTGAAAACAAGCGGGGCATGTGAGCGCCCTTCAGAGAAAGGCAAGGGAAGCGCACCAGAGGAAAAAGCATCGCGCAATGCCACGTGTCTAATAGAGGCACGCCAGAGGAAAATGTGTCGCGCGACAACAGCTCTCAATATGGGTGCGCGGAATGCTCCAGAGAGAAAAAGCGTTGCGTGCCGACAGCTCTCTTTAAAGGTGCGTGGAGTGCAGCAGAGGAAAAGGTGTTGCGCGCCAACGACTCTGTAAAAGAGCGCGCAGAGCGCACCAGAGGGAAAAAGCATCGCGCAATGACGACTCTCAATAAAGGCGTGTGGAGTGCGCCAGACGAAAAGTGCCACGTGACAACGGCTTTCTATAAGGGCGCATGGAGCGCGCCAGAGGAAAAAGCATCCTGCGACACCAGCGCTCTATAAAGGCTGGAGCGCGCCAGCGGAAGTGTGTCACATGATGACGGCTCTCTATAAGGGCACGCAGAGCATGTGAGAAGAAAAGGTGTTGCGTGATGACGGCTCTATAAGAGCGCGCGGAACACGCGAGAGGAAAAAGCGTCATGCATCAATGGCTCTCTATAAGGGCGCATGGAGCACGCGAGAAGAAAAGGTGTCACGTGACAACAGCTCTATAAGAGCGCGCGGAGCATGCAAGAGGAAAAAGCGTCGCGCGATGACGGCTCTCTGTAAGGCCACGCAGAGCATGCCAGAGGAAAAAGGGTTGCATGACGCCAGCTCTCAATAAAGGCACATGGAGTGCACCAGAGGAAAAGGTGTCACGTGATGACAGCTCTCAATTATGGCGCACAGAGCGCCAAAAAGGGTGCACAGAAGGAAAAAGCATCACGCGACGCTGGTTCTCAATAAAGGCGCATGGAGCGTGCCAGAGGGAACAGCGTTGTGCGATGCCACCTCTCTATAAGGGTGTGAGGAACACGCCAGAGGAAAAGGTGTTGCGCAACGACGGCTCTCTTTGAAAGCGTGCGGAGCATGCCAGAGGAAAAAGCATCCCGCGACGCCGCCTCTCTATAAAGGCGCATGGAGCGCGCCAGAGGAAAACTGTCATGCAACGATGGCTCTCTAAAGGCGCACAGAGCGTGCGAGAGGAAAAGTTGTCACGCGATGGCTCTATAGGGGCACATAGAGCATGAGAGAGGAAAAACCATTGTGCAACAGCGGTTCTCTATAAGGGCACACGGAGCACACCAGAGGAAAAAAGCATTGCGCTATGGCAGCTCTCAGTAAAGGCACGTTGAGCACGCCAGAGGAAAAGCTGTCGCGCGATGACGGCTCTCTGTAAAGGCACGCAGAGCGCGCCAGAGGAAGAAATGTCATGTGACGCCGCCTGTATTATACATGGGTGCAAAGCGTGCCAGAAGAAACGTGTTGCACGACAGTGGCTATACGTAGAGTATCACACGCAGGCCTCCCTCAGAGAAACATGCGCGCAGCCAGCCCTGAAAGAAGCAGCACGCGACGGCGTCCCTCAGAGAAAGGCGCGGGAAGAGTGCCATAAAACGACGGCAGCACCCCTTCGGGAAGGTATGGCTGGAGGGGGCTGTGACACACGTGGATGCCCAGCAGGGGCTGTGCCCAGTCGTGCAGTTTTTAAATGGCATGGGGCACGGTCTGTCACGCCCTCAGGGGCAGGATGGGGTGTGGCTTGCCGCCCACTGGGAGAAGGCATGAGGTCTGGGTCATGCACGGTCCTTACGCTGTCGGGTGGCTTGTGGGATGGTGGGCGCTTCCATGTGGAGCTCAGCGCCAGAAAGCAGACCCTGTCCTTTCTTCCAGGCGGCGTGGGCCGTCACCCACGAGGGCCAGGGGGGCCGCTGCCCATTGGGCCGTGTGGCAGACAGGCCCTGTCTTTTAACCGGTTGGTTTCTGTAGTAGTGCACAGATATTTGCCGTCAGACCCTGACTTTGTGTCCCTTGTGAGGATGCTGTGAGCCGGACTGGAATCCTGTCTTCAGCAAGTGTTTCCACTCTCCGATGAGAGATGGCAGGAGAGCCGTGAGTGGCATTTTCACTGCAAACTTATCCCTGAGCCATGCAGCAGGTAGCTGCTGTTTTTTCTGCCCCACCTGCCCTCTCCCCTCACGCTCTCGCCCCTTGCCCATCTCCAATAATCCCTTAGTTACACCCAGCAACTGTACCTTGGGGTTTCCTCCCCCTTCTTTGGCGGCATACAACATCTGTAAGGCAGATTCTGCTAGCGTCTTGCTCTGGTCCAACACCGTCATCTGTTGCTGATGATCTAGTGTTTTGGATGCCACGCCAACTGCAGCTAAAACCAAGGGTTCGAAGTAACTTGCCAGCTGTGTTACCTAAGAAAGCCAGAACAACCACAGAAAGCCATTAACCCCGTTTCTCAGGTATAACTGAGAGGAACCATATTCCCTGATTACCACTGGGCCGTGGGTTAGCTCAAGTAGCACACTGTCCTAGTGCTTCTGCGCTGTACAGCGTTTAGTTTGCATTATGTGCCCATGTGATTCTGTCTCCCCTCACCTTCAAATTCCTTGATAAAGCCATGTGTCTCCCCCCTTAGATGCACACGGTCCCTTGAGATCAGATGAAATCGTTTTGAAAACTGTCAAGGCAGCCACACACTACTTAGGAGCATCCATGACAAATCCCTCCTCCATGCAAGGGAAGAATTTCTCAACCTTTGTAGTGGACAACAGATAACAAATGGGACCACACTGGATTTGGACTGCTCTGTTCACCTCAGGGACTGCTTGTATTCGCAACCTGCACTCCCTAACCTCTCAAACCCTCTTCATCAGATTCCAGTGCAGACCGAGATGGTTCTCTGCTGTGTAAGACACCAGAGTGGGCACAAGCGCTAACAATCCCTCTGGACACGGTTCATCACTCCTGATGCATGAACACTTCCCTAAGACAACCCTGCAGTGTTTCTTGCTGCTAAAAAGGAGACTAGTGGTTAAGCGCTAGTCTGCAACCCAGTGGCTGGTATAGGCCAATAGGATAGGCATGCTACAAAGACTGCATACCAAGCACGCTGCATTTTTCCCTAAGTTAATTATGTGGGCTCAATACCGTGTTTGGAATATCTAAAGACACGGTCCTGCTAGCAGCTTCTGTTGCTGTATTTTAGTCTTCAGAAATGTGTGGAGTCAGTCTCTTTGTTTTCCTCAGTTTCTGATCTGATTTACACTTGTTCTGAGGAAACATCTGCTTTTGGCTATACAGGTATTCTAAGACAATAAGCAAATATTTTTAGATGAATGAATATTTTTACAGTCTACCTGTCATCTGACACATCTTCTACAAAACCACAACAACGCTTGGTTCCTGTCAGAAATCCATGAGACTTTGCTTTTACAGTTTTTACTGGATGCGAAAACCCTGTACTGCTTTGGGCCAATTACTCCACAGAACACACACAAATAGCCCACTGTGGCACCACTGGTATCCCTGAAGCCTCAGAAGTTCAAGTGTGTGTACGTTTGCAGGGGCTACAAGCATCTTTTGAAGGCTGGCACGGGGAAGAAAAATAGCAGTACTTCATGTGCAGGGAAAGATATTGAAAGGTTTACTCCAGCTAAATGACTATGTGGATAGCTATGAGCCAATAAAATTTTAAGACTTAGTCAGACTTCTTTTTCTATTTTGTTTTTCAGAGGATTAAAGCCAAAAAAAAAAAAAAAGAAGGAAAACAACTCAATCATAGGAATGATTTCACAAACATGAGGTCTTTTAAACTGTGTCAAAGTAAACAGCAG